ATAGTAATAGGAATAGCAATAGTAATAGTAATAGTAACAGTAATGGTAATAGTAATAGTAATAGTAATAATACGTGTAGACAGGTATATGGGCACGAGAGTTTTTGTTTTTTGGGGGTGATGTTTTGTTCTCCCGAAAGCCTGGCGAAGCAGAGGAGGTGGTGGTTGAATAGGATGGCGTGATGGTGGTGTTGCAATAGGATGGTGTGATGACTGTGATGGTTGGTTGTGATGGAAGGTCGCAGTGGAGTATCAGAAAATAGGGCGGCGTGATGATGGTCTGATAGAAGGTTGTCGTGCGGTCTCGGCGTAATATGGTGTAATGTCATCGTGAAAAATCTGGTGCACGGACGGACGGATGGATGGATGTTTCGGTGGCCTCCCGGATAGAAAGGTGTTCTCGGAGTAAGGTTGTCGTGAAGTCTCGGATGCAAAGTCGTCGTGAGACATCGGGTGATGGGGCGGCGCAGTCTGCGTTTTCCTGGTCTGTTTTGCACGGGGTAGTGCCTGTGGGAGCTGAATTCCGCGAGGAATGGACGACCCTCTCGGTGTTCGCGGCATGTCGAGGCGATGGCGCGTGGAGCGTCCTTGGAATTCTGCACGGAGAGACCAAGAAGCTACAGTAATTAGAGGACTGCGGCATTCGACGGGGTGAGAGATGGTGAGAGGACCAGGGTGCCAGAGGGCCATGGAGGATGAGGGGACCAGATGTAAGACCACGGGGATAGCCGGGAGGACCAGAGGACAGGGGATAAGGGACCAGAAGACTGCCGGACCAAAGCGCCAGACGAACAGAAGAACATGGACCAAAGACCACCAAACGAGAGGACCACAGGATCAGAGCACCACAGAAACAGAGGATGAGAGGACCAGAGGACCCGAAGACCATGGGACCAGAGGACCGAAGACCACGATGCCACTGAAATGGCAAAGCATACCCTCGAAAAGGCAGACCATAAACAGCAAAGAGCAGAATGCAGAAAGCAAAGAAAGGCAACACACCAGGAAAAAAATCCTAAAAGGGGACGTAGATTAGTTACAACCTAGCTATGTACGTCTGCTGTGGGCTGTCGAGACGGGCCTGTCCCTCGGAAGCCTGTTGAACGCGCACTTGCGCCTCAGCGTTTAGCCATTTTAGTCACCTTTAACAACCATATTATGTTAGTTTCCAATTTCTTCTCCATTATCCCTATATAGATTCCTATAACCCTAAACCCCAGTAGTTTCCATTTTCTAAAGATGCTTGACCTGGGGTTATATTATACTATAGTATACTAAAGTACATTATACTAGTATAGTATGGTATACTATAATATACTACAATGTACTATAGTATATGGACTGCGCCTGCGCGGAGATCTGCCTGCACCATATGCATCTGGCAACCGTCGCTGTCGTGCCACATGCCTTCGGGCTGAGGCTCGGGCCCAAAGAGCGTGTAATGGCACACTTCTGTACTTGCGTATGCCTGCGTGAATGCAGCAAGTTGTCCGCTGAATTAGGAATTCCAAGGGTGGAGGGTGCCTGAGCGAGCCGCACCATCTCTACTGGTGTTATCTCGCTGAGCTGCGGCCTGAGTCACAATGTCCGACCCAGAAGCTCAGGAGGCAACTTGGCTGCAGACAAGTTGTGGCTTGACAGCTGTGGTCCACACTCCACCAGTCTAGCAACCTCCTCCATCATGTGCTTATCCTGCAGCGGGCTTCACTCCACTGCGATGGCGACGAGTCGATCCAACGTGCCCCAAATTGCCCCAACACGTCTCACAAATGCAGAGGCCGTCCTGCAACTTCGCAATGGCGAACGCGTGAGCAACAAGGACTAGTTGATGGGACGTATACCTGAGTTGGATGGACAGGGTGGACGGCCCATCGGGAGCGGATAAGGGCAGCTTCCATGAGCTCCTGACTTAGGCAACATCTTCCTGAGAAATCGAGATACCTGTCTCAAAAAAAGCACCGTATCCGGCACCTCTGAAGATGTACAAATGTATTTATATGCATCATCTGAAGCGCCAAGCGCACATGCTCCATCTCATCGATGCACTTCAGCTCTGCATAGTACTTCGCCAGTCGAGGCAGGTTGAGCACCTGCGAAAGATCTGAGCTGCCAGACCAGTCGTTATCACCCGTTCATGCGACAGCTGTGGCTGCTGCTTTCCGATGGATCTTGCGAAGTCTGGACCTGATCGTCAGGATGTTCTTGAGGTGGCGGCCGTAGTAGAAACATCACTTCTAAGGAATGGGCGTGACAAAGCGCAGGCGCCAGTCGGTCCTTTCGCATCCGCCAACATCTGCAAGCCTTCAGTACTTTCTAAGTGCATCTAACACAATTGCAGCAGCAGTCATGGTTGAAGGCACTGTTGCCAAGCTACCGCTTCAGAACCTTGAAGTAGTGGAAGGTCCTCCGCACAGAGGAAGAGTCAAGACGCCCGTACAATGATTGACAAGATGCCATCCTGCTGAACAACGCACTCTTATCTTGTGTGTGCAGACTTCACCGGTCTTATTCCATGTCTGACCATATGATGAGATGAAACGAAGCTGTGCGTTTTCTACTTCTGCTGCTAGCTCCAGCATAGCTTCAAAATCTCCCTCCATGATGAAGGCGACAATCCACCCTTCCACATCCGATCTCAAGTGTCACATTTCCTGATCTGCTGATCATCAAGCTACCGTACAAATTCCTCTTGTGGCAAATACGCACAGCTCGTTTCAGGCTTAGCCAGACCAAGTTTGCTCAACTAGCCACAAGGCTAGCCCGCAAAGAAGTCTCTAGAATTGCCATGGCATCCTCTTCGGGTGTTTGTGTCGAAACTGTACCCATACCTGCACAGCGGCACTGTAAACATGATTCCAAGTCGTAAACATCTGCTGAATCTACGGCGTGCGCAGCTGCTTCGGCTACAGCGCCTCAAGCACTTCGTCGGCAGATGTGGCAGCTGCCAAGCCCTGCATAGGACAGGGGCAAAGCATGGCAAAGCTTACCGATGGCTTGACCACGAGCCTGCAAGTATCGTATAGATAGGCTCATTCGGCGATGTGCTCTTAGGCTGTGCAACTTGCATCCATACTGAAGATTGGCAGCACTGACTTTGCAATTCAGTTGTTCACAGACCTGTTGCACACTGACCTGACATGACCTGACACTAGATTCACCCTATAACCCATTATGGTAGTTTCCATTTTCTTTTCCATTATCCCAATATTACCCCAATATTACCCCAATATTACCCCAATATTACCCCAATATAACAAAATGTGATGATTTGTTTCAGATTGCGCTACAGCGGCTTCCATGGCTTGCTCTTGTTGGCAGCTACATGTAGCAACAGAAACAGCAAGTCTCGCATGAGTAAAGTGTCATTTGCAGTGCTGGCCTTAGGCAGCCGCCAATTCCAAGAATGCGCATGCTTGCCCTGCGAATAGGTCGGAAAAGGCGTTGGAATCCACCTGTTGCAGTCGTTGCCTACATTGCTACGGCGCATCATCTTGCGGCAAACAGACGCCACCTTTGTCGATTCTCCAGCGCACGTGGTGCAATGTAGCCTGGAGCGCATACTGCCACGGCCGATCCACAAAGGAAGCTGCTCAAAATCAAGGCGAGCTCTGTTTTGTTCTTTGCTGCTGTATCTGCTGTGGGCTCGGCATCAGGCAGACTCAAACGCAACTTCAACAGAAGGTCTCCTATCACACAACTTGACAGATCTTCTGTGCCCTACACAGGTGAACGGCATTGTCCAGCAGGGGAGTGCTGCAAGAGCAGTGCGAAACTAACGCGGCAGCATTGAGCCACTTCGGTATGTGAACTGTAGGGCCGATAGGGTAGTCTTCGCACTCTGGCCGCCCTTTGCAGTCGAGGAGCGCTCTGTATATTTTCGCCAGTTGGCCTTTCCAATCAGCTTGTGAAATCGATAGTAGTACCTGCCAGCTCAAAAGCACAGATGAAGAGCTCAGAGGCTCAGAAGGCTCCGCATGGCTCAGGGCACGTTCCCTTCCGATCTGCAGCTCCGAACTTATGGTGCTCCCGTCTTCCGGGTCGGCCATCCTTTGGGCCGAATCGTACCTTAACAAAACATAATGTTCTTGAATCGTACCTCCATGAAGGAGAGCCGCCTCTTTTTCAGGGCCGGACCTGTTGAAATACAGGTGCCAGACGCGCTGACAGCCTGCAAGATCCGCGATCATGCCCTCCACACTGCTAGTCGCTGCCCCACGTCAGTGACCATGATGGCATCTTTGTGCAAATCCAACGCTGCATTGCATGCGTGCTCTAGCGACCATTTTAGCCAGAGCTGTCTCCAGTAGCCACAGAACGCTGTTTCCTCCACTGGTCATAGCTCACAAGAAATATGGCCATACATGACTGTACCCAAGGTCCTGTAGACAACCTGCCCATGGCCGTTAGTGATCCTCTCCGAGGCCTGCAGCGCATGGGTCAACATGCAACCAAGCAGGAGTCTAGTTATTTACTAGAGCGGCGCTGCTGCCATGCGTGCAATTGTTCGAAGAGCAGGGGAACCACTCTGCACGCCTGCAGCCACTGCTGTAGCCGACGCCAAGGTGTCTGAGCGGATTCGGGCGCCCTGGCACCGGACGATCAGCTGTCAGGCTATCAGCTGTGCCCAATCCCTCCGGCCGCGACGCTCGCGATGCTCTCCGCAACTCCGCCAGCAGCTCTCGTTGAGCCTGCCGAGGCATGCTGCGCGGTGTGAGCTTATCCTTGAAAGTGTATTAATTGCATGATGACTCTTCGTGCGCGCATGTTGTGGTCTGCATCTGCGGTGACAAGGTCGCCACAGTGACCCACACTTTCCTGAACTAGCTCCCAACTTGCACATGCAATTTCAAGAGTGAATATGCCGCCGCTCCAGCTGTCGGAGCGGCCTTTTGAGTTTCTGTTGTTGCGGGCGCCACAAGCATGTCTAGCTCCGGTGGCCTGAGCCTGGAGGTCAGTGCACGCCTGAGCTGTAGCATCCGTAGCAGACAACTTCAAGCTTCTCTCCGCAGTCTGAGCCCCTGGCATCAACCTTGGGATCTATGCCGCCCAGCTGAGGTGCACAGGCCTTCGCAAGCTCCTCCTGCCACATCGCGTTGCTGCGCAACAGAAAACAGTGCGGATTGCTTGGATTCATCGAGTATACCATTCTTCACTGCCATCTACAATTCGACATACTTCAACTCTGACATTGGACAAGTTCCGCTCCAACTGGCCTGTATGCGCGTGTCAGTGGGCGGATCAAGGTGTAGGGAGCTCAAGCGCTCAAGGCAAACAGAGAGAAGCAGCGTCAGTGCCTCGGCCAAAAAGCGATGTCTCAGAAAAACATCTTTCGGGAATGCAAGGATTTGGCCATCTGCACGCCACAACGAAGTACTTTCAAATAGCGAGGCTGAACTTTGGCCCCGCAGGTGACCTGAGCAAGGCGGAAGCAGCGTCACAAATTGCAGGTTCAGAGCACGGAAGGCAAACCTTCCGCAGATGGGCTCACGGCGATCCCAGTCTGAGAACTCATGAGCGGGCACGCCTGGCTAATCCCAAACTTCAGTCGAAACTTCCCATGTGCCGCTTAGACACCCTTAGCACCCAGTGCTCTCCATGGTGCGCCTTCCTATGCTATCCTATACCCATACTTATCTTGGCTTGCGAAGCCTTACCTGTACCTGGCCTGCAGCTCCAAGCATTCCAGGTCGTGTGCTGCAAAAAGATTGGGCAAATCGGCGAAGCCCAGCGGCAGGCTGTGCACCTGCACAGCGCTTTTGGGAACATCGACTTTGAACAAATTGGCTTTCCAAAGGCCAGTGATTTATCATTCAGTAGCCAAAACGGCTGTTCCCTGTCCCCTAGAAAAGCAACTCGCAGCCGAAGCTCTCGCAGTCTGGCCAGTGAAGGAACGGCTGGCCAGCGAGATGTCCGCGAGTTAGAGCCTTCATGCCCAGGCTAATGTGTTGCAGTCCTGGTTCATGTAAAATCTTGCTTCACACCAACAAAAGGCAAGCATGACCATCCTCCCAACCATGACAAACCTCCGATCCAGATTGCGCTGAAGAAGTCTCATGCGGCTTGGGCCTGGGAAATTCTGCGCTTCTGGCCTCTCTATCAGACAGCTATGCTAGTTTGCGGCCGATTCCCCAAGTTCGAGGGGATCAACTACTCAGATTCTGGCTTCAAAGTTTCCACCTGCAAGAAAAGGGGGCATGGGGCCTATCTCAACAGCTTCACTCCAAAACATGGATCCAACACACTTGCTTGACAAATGCACAAGAGACCCGTCGCCTAAACCCTTCAAACCTTTTGTTCTTACTTGTAGTTAAGGGGTTAATACAGGGGTTATGAGGGGATAATGGAAAAGAAAATGGAAACTACTGTTTAGGGCTTCTATCGCCAAACCTGTCGCGATGCTGATGCGGCCTCAGGAAAAGCTGACGCAGGCGCATCTCCCTAATGCTGTACCGACGCGAACTATCGCGGTGTGATTTCAAGCCTTAATGCACTAGGCGGGTTTTGGTCGAACTGTTTATCAACTTTTGCTACACTTGCGGCAAGTGGCCCACGGCATCGTAGCAGAATTCCAGAGCTGTCAGGCAAGATGACGCAGCAACAACATTGCCTCTGCAGGTAGCGTCTGCAAGTAAACCTTCACGCTCCCTGCAATGCAGCAAAGCTTCTCAACGCAAGGTCCACATCGACTTGAGGCCTGTCAAAACTCCTATCTTTGCAGGTCAGTCGCACCAGCAGATTTCAGAACTCAGTTCGCGACTTCCCTGGGCATACTCCTCGCACTCGAAGTTGGCATAGGCTTGGCAGCTCTCCCACAAATTCAGAGAACCAGCTGCCTGAAGTGCGTTGGCTTCATATCCATCTTCATCGTACCCATGCTTGCAAAACCTGCTTGACAATCAAAGTCCGAGATTCAGTTGCCCACGATCTCCACCACCTGCACGCGCTTCAGACGGCCTGTGTCTAACAGTCTTCGAAGCCCTGCTGGAGGTGAGTCGCTGTCACCTGCAGACTTGCTAATTAACTATAGTTATGATGGCAACTATAGTAATGATAGTAACTATAGTAATAGTAAACACTATAGTAATAATAGCACTGCTAATAATAATGTAATAATCATTCATGCTTGCCGTGCCCACCCCTTGGTGAGTGCCTGGGAGGCGCAGGGCGCGCACCAGAGCTTCTGGTTGATTGGCAGCACGATGCCAGGTTTGTCTGACTTGAGCACATCGAAGTGTATCCTGGCTCACAGGACTAGATCTTAAAAGTAGCAGGGTCTACATATGGAAGAACTTTGTCGTCCTCGAGGCATAAGAAACTGAGAGTACCTCACAGCACTCACTCACGGAGAAGCGAATGGACAATTTCTGGCAATTGTACTCAGTAATGGTACACGTGCTACGCTGCTACACAACAGCATCAGTATCAGCGTCAGAATCAACCCCCTGTCTCGGCATCAGCATATGTCTTCAACAATGTCAACATCAACATCAGCACGGCGTGATGCCGGTGCAAGGCCATCTCCTCCTGATTTCTCTTACTTACCGTGCTCACATGAAATCTCTCTAAACCTCACCAAGATGCATACAAGCACTGGCAAGTCGCAGCTGAGAGCAGCTGGTTCCATCTACTCCATGGCTCTGCGCTGGGGCAAAGGGAAGATGCCGGAAGATACAATTTCTGCGGTTAAGGGTGGGTCTCAGAATGTGAGACATGGCCCACCCAAAAATCATCAAAGCTCCAGCTACACTCCATGTAAGCCACGTGCGATTAAATCTGACTAAACTTTCGCCGGGCAAGCCCTTCATGCCTTGAGCCCCACAGCTGCATGACCCAGGGAGACTGACGGATAGCTTACCCTCTTTCCCTTTTTATACTGAGCACTAGTAGAAATAATAGTAACCATGGTAAAGCAGTAATAGCAACAATGGCAATACTAGTAGTAGCAGTAGCAACAATACCAGTAATGATCGTAATGATGGTAATAGTAGTAGTAAGAATAATAGTAAGCATTGAGCTTTTACTCCCTGGTCTACCTTGCACACATATCTATTTTCGCTGGCCTGTCTGTCGCAGCTTGGATCTCCGGCCTGGCTGTGGAAAATAAGACGCCGAAATACAGGCTGAATTGTCACTCATATTAGTTATTGGTACTAGTCTTACTTTTTTTCACTATTATTTCCAGCACCTCCATTAGTACTACTACTACTACTACTACTACTACTACTACGAATATTACACTGTTCTTAGTAGTAGTAGTAGTAGTAGTAGTAGTAGTACTATTATTACTATTATTACTATTATTACTATTATTACTATTATTACTATTATTACTATTATTACTATTATACTATTATTACTATAGTTCATTAGTATTATTACTCTTTTTACTATTGCTCATATTTTTACTACCCTCATTACTAACTATGATTGTTAACAACTATGTTCAATAAAAAGGCAAAACTGGGGTGAGGTCACTTTTGTCCACATCCATCAGTCTGTGCTCCAAGCAGGCCAGTCTGGCTGCATCTTGCCTGCTTTCATGCTGGGCCATCGCCGTGCCGCTTGCTGGCAAACCCTGGCAAGCATGGCTTGGGCGGGCGAGGGCAGCTGAGAAAAGTTATTACCACTATTACTATCACTTCCACTGTTTCTATGATTACTACTATTATTACTAGTATAACTAACTATCACCCTTATAACTGATTGATGGAATCTGCAAGGCGTTGACTTATGCGTGTCTGTGGAAAGCTTGTCGCGCTGCTTACTCTCTGAAACTCATGCAGGGACTTGCTGACTGTGGGTATCTGAGCCAAGCAGAGCTCTTGTAACAGCGGAGTAGCCTCCTGCAACACGTCACTAGTGGCTCTAGACATGCAGGCCACGAAGTCCCCACAACATCTCTTTTGGCTTGCTCATACAAGCTAAAAGCATGGATCTCAGCTTGGGCACCTCAGAGATGCACCAAGACCACAACATGCTTGACAAGCAGCAGCCACATGCGCTAGGGTTCTGACTTATGGCATAGCTTCTTGGCAGCCATTTGTCCAAGACAATCTGAAAGGCAAGTACGTATAAGCAGTTCTCTCAACGGAAATCTAATTGCGGCTACCTTCGCTCCCACGACCATCTCGCGACCATCTCCTGTCCACACTCCAGCTGGCCTGCAAAACACTTGGGCCAGAAAAATATTTGCACAAGCATGGCAACGCAATGAGCATCCTGCCTCGGAACAGAATCTCGGAGCCAGGTCGGGTCCTTCAAGCTTCTCGACAAAGTCGAATATTACCCCTAATAATCACAGTTTCCATTTTATGTTCCATGTTCTGTGTTATCCGATTCTGCATTATTGGGGGATTATCCCCATATAATAGGGCAGGGACTCTTCAAAAGATCTCCTCATCTTGAAGCTCGGCGAAGGTCAAGTCACAGCGCTGTTCACAACGCCACGCAAAGCAGTCACCACTGCGAACTCTCACGTTGAAGACCTACAGGCATCAGATGTCCACTAGATGTTCACTAGGCATTAGTTCAGCTTAGTTCGGCCAGCATCCAATATTGGCATAGCCATCTGTGGCCTACCTGCTCCCTTTACCTGGCCTGAGCATCAAAGCGATTTCGAGCTTCGAACCAAGTCTGCGTCCCGTTTGGCGGCTTGGCTCGTCCGGTTTCCCTCCTTGTGCGCAGAGCAAACGGCATCTTGTCCACAACTTGGAAAACCATTCCGGTCCGCGATGCCGGAGAATGGCTTGGACGAGCTATGAAAAACTCAAGGCCAGCAAACGTGACCTCGTTGAAAGGCGTTGCCATGTAGATGTATGAGAGGATTCCGTGCCACTCGGGCACATGGGAGAAGGTACCGAAGCATAAGTTGGAGTCAACGACGATACGGTCATGCCGCCCCTTGTCTGCGCGCAACCCAGACTGCTGAAGAGCATTTAGCTCACCTGGGACACCGTATCCTGTCCAGGCAGTGGTATCAGCCTGTAGGTAGTACGCAGTGCGCAACAAATAGAAAGTACTGTCAGCAACGCCGCCGGCATTCGCGTGAATGAAGCACACGGGTCTCTGGAAAAGGACAGACTTCATCTGTCCGGTGAATTTGTCAATTCCAAACTGTCTCGGGGCTAACGACCGTCGAGCCAGGTTGACCACGAAGGCGCCACCGTAGTCTAATGCCACCTGCACGCTCGTGCTACAGCCAACAGCTTGAGGACTGAACCCCTGCCAAAACCCTCATGAGACGCTTGGAAAACAATCGTTTACGTGAGGCATCTCAAGTCTTACAGTACACCTGGTCCACCTTAGGAGGACCCCCCACCCTGTAATAGTGACTGAAAGGGATAATAAGGAATATATTAGGGTCCTATTATATTCCTATTATACCACTATTGCAGGGTGGGGGGTCCTCCTAAGGTCCACGAATGTTTTCCAAGTCAGACATTGAGCTCACCTTGTCTGGGTGGTCCAGGAAGTACTGACTCCACAGGTACTGGTGGCTCCGGCCGTGGCGCTTCAGAGGTTCACCCGCCGAGTTGAACTCAGGCAGCTGAGCTTGCACATGTAAGATTTGCCTCGGCTGCATGTCATGACTGCCATCTACCTCTTTTGAACAAGGGATTCTGCCTCGGTTTTATGCTGATGAGGTACCGCAAGGCCATCTCAAGCACATCTGCACGGCCGCCATAAAAGCCACCATTCAGAAACTCTCCCGCGACGGGGTGCTTAGTTGAAAGCGCAAGTGAGTCAATAAACAGGCGCAGCGCCAGAAACACGGCTCATGTGGCTGTATAGCTCTGGCATGGCTTGAGATTGGAAGGGGAAAATCATTATCAGCCAAACATCTGGAAGTGCAATGCCCGTTGCTTCTTCTTTGTGATTTCTTTCCGTCCGCGGACGTTCTACCACGGGTGCTGCCAGACTCGACCCCGCAGCAGATTGTAGCCACAGATTGCAGCCTTGAAAGATGTGTTCTTGTGCCACTACAAAGCGTTGACGATGCATGTTGTTGAGGCGTCTCTGCTATGTTGCACGAGCTGCGTTCTGGCGGCTGTGCGCGTTGCTTGCCATTTCCAAGGGGCGAACGCGCGCTTTCACCGTTTGAAAGCCCTCGCAACCGTGGAAGTAAGGTCATCATGATCTATAGCTGTCCAGACGTTGGCAAGCATCGCCAACAAAAGCATGCGAGGGGATTCTATGTTCAACAAGCATCAGCTAACGAGGGCCTAGCAACCTATTCTTACCAAAGAAGACGTGAAGCAGCTTGAAACCTTATTCCATTAAGTATATTGCGGTTCAACGGGAATAATGGAGAATAAAACGGAAACTACTATAGAATATTGGGGTCATCTTGGGATAATGGAAAAGAAACTGGAAACTACAGGGATTATAGGAACTATACAGAAAGAGGTTTCCCGTTTCATTTTCCATTTTCTTGTCCATCTGATTCTCCATCATAACTAGGGAAAACATAAACCAGATTTAGTGGAGACGGGAAGGCTAATAACCTACATAAAGACAATTCAAGGCTCAGTGCAGACAACCTGGTACTTGTGCGTTGCGAGCAGATCGTGCGCGTCTACTTCCAGTTTTGTCTCTATGCACGCTGCTTCCGAAATGCTTGTTCCTGAAATGGTTGGAAATGCGGTTTTTCTTGCATGCCGCTTCATGTCTGAAGCTTGCAATCAGCCTGCACTTACAAAGCACATTTTTATCAGGATCATTGGACTTGCAGAAGGCTCCTACCGTGGAGCTTGCTTTGCCATTCCCTTCTGATCATAGACAGCAATATGTCAATTCTTGAAACTAATTGATCCCTTCAAAAAGTTAGTAATCTGGATGCTTCGAAAAATCTCTAGTGTTGGCCTAGCAGTTTGCTAGCGCTACACTGGCTATTCATTGGATCCCCTGGGTGACTCATTTGTTACAACCCAATAGTTTTGCATGTAGCTGATGATCTGATGTGCATACCAGGCCGCCGTGGGCTCGATACCACTGCTCGAAGTACCAAGAATCTCGGACATAGCTAGACAGGGCTTGCGTTGGTCTGGCGGCCTGGGTCGAGTAGTGCTTGTGCAACGCGGGTGTGGTCAAATCAGAATCTTGGGGCCAGTCTCTGACTCCCAGATGTAAGGCAGGTCGACGGCCTGCCGGCAAAGCTGCATCTGGTGGGCCTGGCAGCTGAAAGAACGACTTTACAAACGACATGAGGAGCAGAACCGCAGCTCCAGCAAATCTTTGGAAAGCCGCACCTGACGCACCCTGGCATGGCTGCCGGCAGCTGGGGCCGGATAGCCAGGGAGACCCGCAGGAAATATATCAAACCTGTGCTTGCTCGTACAGTCATAGCGGTATATCTCTTCATGTCTCTTGCTTAGCGAACATCTGAGCGGCTCCACTCCGAACACCATCGGTCTGCCCAACTCGTTCAAAGCCTGACACAGAAGTAGCCGAACGCTTGCACGAGGGCCCTGTCATGTCCTGCAAGCCCATGTGCCTCGCTGAGGTTGCGCTGGCATGGAAACGCTGCCACATCAAACGCATCAGCATAGAGCACGAGACGCTCCCCATGGCCACTCTTCCGGAGGTAGGTCACGTAAGACCTTCCCAGCCCAACCTATTTGCATGCTGCCTCGTACCGCACAGGCATGTTCCAAGCCAGACCAAACTGAGCCGGGTGCAGCAAGTATCGCTCTGCGTCGAAGAATCTGAACTTCCAGGGCCGGTATTCGGCTGGAGGCTGCAGCATCCGCAGGCGTAGCGGCCACTGCACAGACGAGCTCAACGGGTGCGCCAAGGTGGGTGCATCAGTAACGGTCACAAGGTCGAAAGGGCCCTGCCCAAGGTCCTGGCTGCAAATGAAAGCTAGCATGGGTAGATAGTGGGTGTAAATGCAATACAGGAATCATTAGACATGATGGCAGCGCTGGCAGAAATTGAAGATGGGACTGGCAGGGTTGCGGGGGCAGAGAAGGCAAAGATCAAGCTCACGCTGGCCAGGAAAACTTCCCAAATTAGGCATTCTTTGCCAAAGAGCATCTGATTTCATGCTTTTGGCCAAGAATACGTCACGAATCAAACATTATTTCCCCAAGAGACTCTGATTTCGTGCTGTTGGCCAGATTTTATGTTTGGCCAGGACGACGTCCTATTTGAGATATGCTTCGGCCAGTATTAGTACGCCTTCCAGCATTAAATCTGCGAGTCCATGTACAGATTTGCACCAATGCGTATTAATATTAGTATTAGTATTAGTAATAGTATTAGTATTAGTATTAGTATGAGTATTAATATTACTATGAGTATTAATCATAGTAGTAGTCCGCAAAGAACGTCTTTTCAGGTGTGTTCTGCCAGGAAAATGACAAAAATCAGGCGTACACGCCCGCCTCCTCACAGCCTTACTGGGGGGGTTGCAAAGGGATAAGGGATTATACGGATCATATAGGGATTATATACGGGTTATATGGGGGGTTATATGGGGATAATGGAAAATGACATGGAAACTACTCTGGGCGGACTTCTAGGCGGAGTCTCCATGTTGGATGCCGCAAACCCTAAAACCTATCAAGAAGCGTAACGAGTTCCTGGGCAATAATCTTGCACTGCACGTGTTTTTGGGATGTCCCATGGCATACAATCAAGGCGGAACATGGGAATTGATGCTTGACTTCTCTCTTCCTTGATTTTGGCAAGGCGGATTGTGATGTTCCAGCTTTCTGGCATTCACTGTAGGGAAAGCAACCACCACTACCAAACACCACTGATAATTGAACAAGTGAGAAACAGCACACTGCAACATGGAACGTGGCAGTCCATGTCTCTATCGCTGTTCCAAAACTCCTGTCGCAGAACCTATATCCCTGTCATGGCTCGTCTGCATGCATCTTTAGCATAAGCAGTACCTATAACAATGATATTGGATGTTGATATGACAAAGAGGTCACTGATGGTCGCGGTGCTCATGACCATAACTGTCATGATGAGATGAAGAGTGGCAATCAAGGATACCATTGGATTTTAGACGCTGATGTTAGATGACCGTACAGCAAACTATTAGACAGCAATAAAGGCGAAGGCAGCGACACACAATGATTGAAACGACAAAGATGGCCAGGATGCTGTTGGCAGCCATGTCATGAGTATGGCCATGGCCGTGATGATGAGCACGATGGCGACAAGGATGATGATCATGATAAAGACAGGCCTGGCTTGCAAATCATGGTGAATGGTACCGGTAGATGGCGGATGTTGACAAATACAGATGTTGAACAATGGGATACGAGGGGGGTGATAAACCGATATGGGATACGAGGGGGGTGATAAACCGATATGGGATACGAGGGGGGTGATAAACCTATAAGAATGAAGCATGAAAGCCCATGGATGATGTTGAGGGTGATGCTCAAGCGGAGATGCCAACGGCAATTTCCCATGCAGAAAGTACATGCAGATCAAACTGGAGGTGTAATGAAGGGTGCTAACCAACGGATGGCACAGACAAACGATTCATCGTAGATGGCAGCTGACAGCATCAACGCTGCGATTGTGAAATCACAAGTCATAACCAAAAGAAGAATATGAGACATGTGTAGTGGATTGAATGGAGAGGAAATGGGAAGAAGACTGACCAAGCGTCAAAGACACTGGGAGAAACAGCAAGTCATTGACAGAGTACAATGAACTTCTGACTGCTCACTGAGCAAGCTACATGCTGAAGGCAGCTAAGATAAAGTCAGGGAGAGTGGGTGGGAAAGAAAAGGAAGGAATGCAGGTTGGACCAGGAGGGACTTGGGCCAGAGCTGCATTCCAAGAGCATGTTCACATTCACGGCAGGAAAGGGCCCTACCCAACCAACCTACAAGGTGTTAGGCAAGATGCTCGACAATGCCCGTGATAAGATGAAGGTGGTGACGACCGTTGTCATGATCCTAGATAGTGCGTGTAGCAACCATCAGGAGGGGTGGCGACGGCCTGCCTATGACAGCTCGTAGATCTTTCTGACGAAGATGACCAAATTTGCATCTTATAAGCCGTTATATCAGGGTTATATTGAAATAATGGAAAAGAAAATGGAACCTACTGTAGTATATGGGGGGGTTATATTGGGATAGTGGAAAAGAAAATGGAAATGACAGGAATTATTATAGTGGTTATATAGGGGCTATAGAGGATGATCCCTGATGTGGACGTCGATACGCAGACCATGGTGCCAGACGGTCTGGGACAGATGTTAGCGCTCATGATCAGAGAAAATCCGGAGTGAGGTTAATGATGGAGATAGGCTTATGTTGGCTAATGGAAAAGGAAAGGGAAACTACTATTAATATTCTATTGGGGTTATATTGGGTTATATTGGGATAATGGAAAAGAAAACTACTAGATATGTAGTAGGGAATGAAATCTCCTACTTGACGGCGATGACAAGGGCGATGACAGTGCGGACTATGATGATTATGGATTGTAGAATATTGCAGATACACCTTGTCATGGTAAGGGGTGTCGACAGATGCTGTTAAACACTTGTTTTCTGGGATTTGGCCAGCTTTTGCGAAGAAGTGTGTTTTTAAAGCGTCTTTTTTCGCGCAACTTTCGCGGTGCCCATTTTCACGTGTCTGTCAACTTTGGGTATCACCTTGGACACCAATACTGCCAATAGATGGACCCTTTCTGGGTTGGTTCTCCTTCATCTTGATGTACTGAACAACAATGGTGTCACATATCTTTTGCAAAAACGTGTCATCCTTTTGCGTCTTCTTTCGCGAAACTTTCGCGGGTCCTTTGCCATCTGAATTGGTCGCCCAAGCATAACCAGAGGACACGAATCTTTAGAACAACACCCATATGCTCGATGCATAGGATTAGCACAGAGAGCAGGTGGGATGCAGTGGCCACAGGTGACTTCGTACAAATGTCACACCAGATCGCATAATCGGATGGTGAGGCTTGGGGATAAGGGGGAGGCAGGGTGGAGGAGTGGAAGAAGGGATGGGGGGGGTGTTGGCGCGGGGAAGGAGGTGGGAGAGGCAGGGGGCGAGGATTGGAATGATTCTGTAGAGAAGTCAGTCAATTCAAGTTCTCTAGCCCGGGCTAGCCTGCAGTGCTGAAGGACTTTCTGAGCATTTGTTGAGGCTGATGTTCTTCGACCCTTGCTTGATATGTTGGCACGGTGGTCTGCTTCTGCACAGATTCACGGAGGGCGATTGACAGAATTGACTTGACTGAGAATGCTGACTGCAGCTGAACGCCATCCTCCAACACGTCAGGATCCAGTGGTTCGAGCGGATGATCCACAGGTGGCCTAGAACTAAAGATTCGAAGGACACGCAGTTGAGCACCGATGGCATGTTCCTGTGTCGAAGCAGCCTGGAAGGCAAAGAGTTGTTCCAATCCAATGAGCTGCATGGTAGCCAAGACTATGCCCCGCCTGGGTGCCTGACAGATCATGCGCCAATCGAAGCCAGAACAGCCGCCAGATCAACCGGCGCATGTCCTCATCGTGGCCCAAACAACTCAGCGGCACGCAGGCTGCAAACCAGTCTCCACCATCATCGAGCACAGATGCAGCCTGAAGCTTTGAGGCTGCAAAGCCTCTGATGGCCAACTGCTCTTTGGCAGTCAGAACTCGTTCTCGCTCCCGTAGAGCATCCATGTTGCGAGCATGTCGCAGGGAAGTAAACGTCCGTGCACAGAATCTCTGTCGGCAAAGGCGCCTCTTCTGCACCGCTGCGGTACGGGGAACCTTCATTGCCACTGCCATCACGCCATCAAGGTTATTAACACACCGCCTTCCCACACGAATAGCCGCAGCATCGCTTGCTGACGGACACAGCGATCTAGCGCTGAGTGAGACAAGGCGTTTGGAAGCTTGCTTGTGTGCCAGCACACTTGCACTGCACGCCCACTCGTGGGCTGCTTCCATGTCAAACTTTGTAAAGATTTCTGGAATATGCCTTACATCAGCTGCGCGGCACCGGAAGGCAAAGCACCACAGGCCGGACAACCATCTCGGCGCGCGTCCACTTTGGATTGATCCAGGGGCTTCAAAAGGAAGAGGTAGCGGCCAACCTGAGGCCCCCAAGCACCACAAGCATCTCAGGCATAGCAGGCAAAGCCAGAGACGTGAAAGACGTAAACGCCAATTCAAAAAGCCAGAATATGTGCAAAGAGGATTAGGAGGATCCTTGACTAAGCGCTTTTAGGGCATTGATTCGCAGTTCTTCCCAACCAGGCAACCCTTCAACTCAAACTCCTGGAAGCTATCCAGCCCAAGGAACCCAACTGAGCCTAGGATCCCAAGGAAAAAGATGCTGCTCGGGGGAAAATGTGGGAAGTTAAGGAAGCTGGCAACACGCACATGCCCTATATGTATATATATATATATATCCTAAACTCTAAACTCTATATAATCCCTACATATACCCAATTATAGCAGAAGATTGATTGCAAACGACACGACTCACAAAAAACGCCTGCATGCTGTATGAGTCCTGGAGGCTGGCAGGCATTCAACTTACGTTGTTCACATCATGTGAAGATATATGGGGGTTCCCAAAATTAGGGGTACCTTGTTGGGGGTCCCTATAATAAGGACTATAGTATTTTGGGGTCTATATTGGGGTTCCCCTTATTTTGGGACAGTACCATAATATGAGCTATTTTGAGCTACGGACTAAATTTAGGGTTGGGGGGGACCTATCGGGGACTATACCGGGTTTTGGAGGGGACCTGTTAAGGGATATACTACAATGTTAGTCCAGGGCTCATATGAAGCCTGTCATCACCGTGACAAATGGCATTGGGCAGAGCTCTAGATAGCCCTGTCGGGTCCTTTTTCCGCTGGCTGGCCGTAAAACTGGATCCGCGTGGCCACGAGCGCAACTGAAGACTCTCATTGCTGCTCCTTTTTCAACACTGAAGCTAGGGCACAGCCGCCTTTCTCTACAGCATCAACGTAGGGTCCATTCTGGATCACCAGGCGGACTGCCAAAGGTGAGCAAGGGTACTTCACCGACAGCTCCTCGACAAGTGTGCGGACAAGCGTCTTTTCGGGGTCCAGAGTGACCTCTGCAAATTTCCTGCCATCCATCGTTGTCGCGCTGATGACCATTGTGCTTGTGTCAGAGGTGTCGCCCAGCTCCAACTGCATGACGATGGTGTCTTGCTCCCCTTCTGAATCCACTGCACTTTCGAGATCGTCCTCATCTAGCATGCCACACTCTTCGTCGTTAAGCCCGTCATCCAGATCGATGCCACACTCCTCCATGAACTCAAGGCAATGCTCTTTAGTCACACCCTTGCCGACATGCCAAACCTCCATACATTCACATGTGTTTTCAAGCTCGTCCCACCAGAGTCCCTCACCACGATAGCCATCGTCATGGTAGGCAGACGAGATGCCCCAATACACGATGCCGTTGTTCACGTCCACAGCAGGGTGCCCAGAGAGTTTATGGTCTTCCCTTGGCAGCTTGCACCACCTCTTCTTCAGCTGCGCCAGCCGACGCAGTCCTTCGCTTCTATCTGTCTGGCCGAACATGTACTTGACACGCAGCATGCGCAGGTTTGGAAACGAGTCAGCAAGAAGGCCGAAGGGGTCATTGCCGCCAATGGCGGCATCGGTCTCAAACTCCAGCAGTTCTGTGGAGCAGGTGCTGAGAGCCTTCACAAGCATCTCAAAGTTACGGCCGTGAAAGAGGCAAGCTCGGCAGCGAAAGGACTCAAGCGACGGTTTAGCTACGCGCAGGAACTTCGCCAGTGACTCAGCGGAGTGGAACCCTTTTTGAAGAGTTAGACGCTTCAAGCTACAGCTTCCGCTTCGGAAAGCCGCGGTCAGTTTGCCAAAGAGGTCCGGTGCTCGGAGGCTCCTCCGAAGCTCGTGTCTGGTGCCGAAGATAGGATCTCCAGACCCCGGGAAATTGTCCACTCGCAGCACTGTCAATCGATTCGCCAAGGAATCTGAAATTGCTCTGGTAATGGAGGCTTCACGGATCGCAGAAGGTTGCGATCGCTTCTCTCTGACAAGAATTTCGGGATAGCACGGTCCCATCAGCTGCAGTCGCTCAGCAGTGCTTGCTGCTGCATGGAGCTGGGCAAGGGCTGCCCTCTCGCTTTCTTCAATGCTTGCAGGATCAACCTTGGCTTTCTTCCGGTTCTCCTCCTCCTCCTCGCTTGTACAAGTAGGATCCATCCAGTTGCACCGCACCAACGGCCCCTCTGCAACCAGCAGTCCCGGCAAATCCTTTTGAGCAGAATGCTCTCCGAAGTCGAAGTCCCGGTCGTCATCGCCATCTGAGGACTCCAGGTCACCTCCATTCTCCTCAAATTCCTCCAACTAATCTTCACATGCCTCCGAAGGCTGGCTCTCCTCATCCTCCACAGCAGCCATTGCGCAGAGCGTGCAGTCACTAGGCTGGACCACAGCCCTATCTGATGTCAACAATTGGTAGCTTCCATTTTTTGCAGCACCCCGATACAGACCCACAAATGATGTAAACTGCAATCCTTATCACGGAACCCCCTGAAAGGTACCCCTGTGCTTTAAAGAAACAATTACCTGATATCAACACTTAGCTTGTGCGCAGAAAGCTCAACACTGGATCTGTCCGAGTCTTGAGATAGATTGGAACTGTTCTCCTGTCGGTCTGCACATGAAGTCATACCACCGAAGGTTCAGGAACTGATCCCATGAAGTTATGAGATAATGAATTGCAGGACATCTTCGAGCCAGGAACATCGTGAAAATTGACTTGAGATGACGCGGAAACCCTGTGCTCTGACAGGATGACTCCTGGCAGCTACACTGCAGCTAGTTTTGCTGTTCCCACAAGGCCCATTGTTGGATCTTGACTGGACGATTGCCAGCTTCAGACTGACATCTCTGATTTGCAGCACATTGCAGGCACTCTTCCATGTCATGTGGTTTGGCCCTCGGACCCAGCATGTATTGCTTCAGTGCATGCTGCACACCAGTCAAAAAGCGTGCATGGAAGAGAGCTGCCCATCTTCAGCTCTCATCCCATCATGCGCTGGGCACTATGGAAGGCACCAGCTGCATGCAAGGTCACTCGCTTGATCAAAGCGAGATATCTGCGACTTGACCTCTGATCGAATTCGTATGGAGACTCTAAATGCTGCATGGCCCAACCGCAAGGGCAGCCATCAATGGAACAATGCGCCGCTCTTCCCAAACTTATCGGCGCGCGCTGCCTTGCTATCACTAGGACAACTAGGCGTTCTGACCACGACTAGTTACCGTCAGCAATTTTCCACTCTCTTTCAAAGGCAGATACGCCTGCTGTGAACAGCGCAAAAGTTTCATACCGCATTATCAGAAACCAGCTTCTTCAGAGAGATCCGGCGCCTCGGGCACATTCAATGTAGGTGCATTCGTTGCATCGCATGGCAACTCTCGTTTGCGGCGTAGCAAGTATGCTAGATATGGGATCCGTGGCCCCTCATTTTGGCTGCTGAATTTCATCTTGGGTCTTATGTCGATCAAATCACGTGACCATGATTTTCATGCTGGAATTTGCATCTGGGCCCTATTTGAGCGAGGATCAAAACCCTTATCCGGTTTCTTTGACGGTAAGGAATTTGCTTACGGTAGCTTACGAAACCCAAGGTTTAGCTTACGGCG